GCTGCTCGCTTTTAAATACTGTCATTTCTTCTCCGAGAGGACACGCTGGTGCATTTTCATGCTCTACTTTGAAAACTGCTAACATGTCAGTAGGGAAACCGCTCTCTCTTTAACTGTTTGCTCAACGTGCATATTTCTTTGGCTTCATTTAGAGCAAATGGAGAGACAGCATCACAATGAAGGACAGAAGAAGGATGAACCAGGTTAGTGTGTGTGATGATACAGGTGACAATTAGAGTGCATTAGAATTGTCAGTACGGTCATTCTGAATAGTACAGATGGTCAGAAACTGCTTAATGAAGAAAGTTTTTGGTTGAAAAATTGACATAAAAAAAAAAAAAAAAGGTGCCTGGCCAGGAAGATGCAAATCAAGCGTGGGATATTTAAATCCCGGGCTTGATTTGCAATTCCGAATGCCTACATTTGCAGCCCTAGTTCGAATTAGGCTGCAAGTGTAGACATACCCCGGGGGAATCTGGCATCCCTGCGCATGGGCAATGGTACATGAAATATCTCACGGGCAGCACGTAGAACCCCAATGGACTGCCCGTGGCCCACTGCTTCATGAGACTGTACATTCTTCAGGCTAGGACTGTTGTTTACGATGAACTTGTACAGCTTTTAATGGGGTCCTGACTTGGCTGAGGTCGCTTGACGTTGCGACTGTACAAGTATAGCCGATTTATGACTGTGTTTATATGTAAGTAGCATTCAGCCTGACCGCTCCCAAAATTGGCACATATCTCTGAAACCTTGACAACTGATGAAAGGGAAATGGGGTTTTCCCCAGAGAATGGAGCGGAGCAGGTCAAAGAGATGGAAGTGCTAACATGAAACAACTTGTTTCTAACCCGGGCTACCAACTTAAATGGATGATAGAGTCACAGCAACCCAGCACTGCAGAAATCTCGCCTCTTTCCATCATCGGTCCCTGCAGAAGCAGCCACGACAGCCACTGTGCAAAACAGATCAGCCACTCTTCGAATGTGACAGCACTTTAACCTTTGCTGACAAATGAGCAGCTACCCGGAAAAATAAATCTGGTGTATAAGTAGCACCTGCCCCAGGGCAAATTGCAAACATGCCTTCAGGATTTCATCCTGCGGCTGGCACTCATCCTGCCAGCACGTACCCAGGCTCTTATGCACTTTGCTATCCAAGCAGTCTACGGGAAAACAGCAAGAAGGCGATTGCTGATCATACGCTGAAGATGGGCCCACAACCAAACCCTTGCTCCAAGCGCGGCCGAACGCAAAGGAAGTTTTGATGCATGTCCAGATTCAAACTTGGCCACAGGTTTCTCTGTCAAACTGAACTACAGCCCTTTGAGATCCAGTGTCACACTTCTCTGCCCAAGCCCATTTCTACCCAGCTCATGGAACTCCCGGAGTTTGGTCTTTCAGAACTCTCGGACATTTTGACTTTTCTGGCATTGCTCTGTCGGAAGGTGATTTTAAAAAATTTTTTTGGAGAGTTTGAGCAAAAATGAGCCAGTCGACTCTGAGTCCCAAGCGAGCGGCGAATATACTTTTAACAATGCAGGAGAACTTCCTGTGGGCTTTTTAACTGGTCTACCTGATAAAGTGTGTGGGGGATGAGGAGAGTGCTGAAATTAGACCACATGGAGGAGACCTGCCTTGGAGACTTTCCAGTGACATTTTGTTTTTAATTGGACGAGGTTATGACCCTGTGGAAATAGCATGCACATGCCCGGTATATTTTGCACAGGCTTTTACCTCCGCTTATTAAGGACCTAATTCTGCTCTTCATTTGCACTCAGATGCAGTGCTAAGGCATACAACTAATGACAGTGGCTTTGCATGCGGTTAACTTAGATTCATATTGAATAGAGTACTGTAGGTGTAAAGGGGGTGGAGAGCCTGCTGTGAATTTGGGAGATTCTCCAAGGAGCGCTTCATTCTGATGCATCTTATTTATTTTTTGTATTATCAAAGTACCTTAATAGTTATCCAGTGCCTAAGACTCTCAGCACCACCTGATGTGCACAGAATAAATTCTTCTGCAAGTGTCTGGTGAAATAGCTCCTGAGTGCAGAATTTAGGCACGATTACTGCCAATTTGTGGTGGGCCTGCAGAGTTTGAAAACACTTAGAGAGAAGCACCTTCTTTTTAAAACTTCGGCTTGCCTCTAGCTACATTTCTGTGAAGACCAAGTTAAGGTTGCACAGTTAAATGCTCAAAAGTAAGGTGACATCTCAGCAAAGGTTGCCGATGTAACCTTAACTCTGCCCTTAAGGGCTGGCATGTGGGGAGGGAGGGGATCTGATTATAGATTGAGTCACACCTGTGAAAGATCAGGGTGATTGCCTGGTAAAGAGCAGCAGGAGGCTGCAATGAAGTTTGGGTCTAGACATTTGGGACCTAGAAGTCTGTGTCAGCTGGAGGAGCTGGGAGGATGGGCCGTGAGAACAGACTGCGACAGCACAAGAGCCCTGGCTGTAGGAGAAGACCCCAGTGCTCAGTGTGGACTGTTGTGTGCGGGCAGACATGATTATAGGCCCTTGAGGACAGGTAAGAAATATTTCTTGGATTTAATTGGCCCCAGACAGGCCACTCAAGAGTCAGCCAACCCTTCCACACTTCCATGCAAACGTACTCCCTTAGAGCAAAACTGAACTGAGCATGTCCCCTGGCGCCAGGCTCTGCAAAGCTTTCTCTGGCAATCCTCCTCCACTTGTCCAGCCCACGTGTTCCTTAGACTCAAGTGTTCTTTGGTGGTCTTGATGTCCACGATCCAGTCACGTGTGCCATAAATTTGAGTATTAACCTCCTTCGTAGTCATGTGTGAAGCAATTTGAAGGCAGAAAGTCTCTTAATGTCCTGTTTCCTTAGCATCTATGACTCTCAGGCACATATTTCATTTTACACTTCATGGTAATTCCTTTCCTTCTCCAAATGCAGCTGAGTATTGCTAGAACAGCAGTCAAACGTCTGCTTCTATGTCAGATCTCTAAGGCCATGTCTTAACTAGATGGAAGATTGACACTGCCGTGATCCATTGTCCAGCATTTGATTTAGTGAGTCTAGTTAAGACCCGCTAAATCAAACTCAGAGGGCACGCCTGCTAGCATCCAGTACTGCTGCTCTTGCAAGGAGTAAGGGAAGCTGATGGGAGCGTTTGCTCTCATTGGCCTCCCTCTATGCGGACGCCGCCAAGCTCTGCTTAAGCTAAGCCAATTCCAGCTATGTATTCTGTGTAACTGGAGTTGTGTACCTTAAGCCCAGCTGATGGGTCTAGTGTAAACCTGGCTTACGTGATATTTAGCATTCATTGTTGTACTCCCTATGTATCTCAGTACACTAAAATGCCTCCTTAGATATGGGTAGAAATATCTTCACTCTTTCTATAGACATTTTATATCTTTGTCTTTTTGTGTGATATCTTTAGACCCAACGTCTCTGCTTCTATGACAACTCCATCTAGCCATTTTTACATCTCTTCTTGTGATGCCCCGGTCAAGTCAATATCATTGGCAAAGCACAGATGACTAATTTTTCACCCAGTAATGGATATGTGCTCCTGTAGGTTTTCATCGGTGACTCTTCTTCAGAATAACGGTTGAAGAATAGCCTTGTTCACCATGTGTCCCCAAGTTACATCAGTTGCTTTGCTCATGCTGATAATCACTGAAGCTGTCAAGCTCCAGTCGAGATTTTGTACCGACCTCCTTAGATTTTTCATTGACTCTGCCTAGCCGCAGGCTTCATAAAGAGGCTTGTGCCACATGCTGTCAAACACCGTGGCAGAGTCCACAAAGACATGGGCCGCTTTCCCATCATTCTTGTATAACACACGCACGGTGAGTATTTGCTGCCTCTTGAATCTCACCCAGGCATGTTCTTCAACTAGAAAGTTCTCTTGGGTGCACTTCTCTTCAGGATGGTGCACAGCAGTGTTTTCCTAGGGTGTGTGTTAATTTTCACAGATAATTAGGCCCTGCTTTTTGGGACTAGGAACCAGCAGGGCATGGGTTCAAGTCTTGAGCTATCTTCTAAACTTTTAAATTACATGGATAAGCGGAGGGTGTGCTTTGTTTGATGAGTGACACTCCACCAATTTTAGATGTGCATTATGCAGGTTTTCTAAAGTGTACTCTTTTGTGCGTACCAGAAGGCCAGAAACCACAAAAGTCAGCTACACGAAAAATACACTGTAAAACACATGGACATGACACCCAGAGATAGTAAGTCCAGAAGGGTCTATCTGCATCATCTAGTCTGACTTCCTGCATAATAAAACAAAGCCTACATCAATCAATTGCTTTTTTCAGATACCCAATGCATGTACCTGTTAAATGATACAACAAGGAGTAATAGTGAAAAATGGGGGCCTCTATCGGCCCTCGTGGTTCATAGCTGTTAGCTTCACGGTGCAGGAGATGCTTAGGTAATGAAGCCTGCCTGGTTTATGAGTGCAGATCTGGTCAAGTCCTCTGATCTTTACTGGTTGAAGCCAGGGGAATCTCATGCCTTTTCCCCTCCTGCTAGAAGGATGTTGTGTGTGGGGGAAGGGTGTTCTCTGCAGTCATTTCCTCCTGTCCATTGGATTTTACTATGGGAGGGAATTATTCAGTTACTTGATGATAAATGACCCATTCTAGAAGGGAATGCCCAATTTATATCCTAGAAGCCATATATATATATATATATATATATATATATAAAATCCTGGGCATATTGCCTCCTATGCTCAGCTATATTTTCATCACATGTAGTTAAAAAGGCACTGAGAGAAAAGAGCAGGAAGTTTCCTCTGCTAATAAGAGACGCGGATTAAAGGATTCGCTCTCCAAAAGCCCCTTCGGAGCGGTGATGTCTCTGAGTCTGGGATCTGAGCATGACAAAATATAATTAATGTGTGAGGAATTCAAGTGGGGTTTGAGAAGGATGTATTACGTTTTGCCTTAAATGCGAATGTGGCCTCCGCATAATAACCAACACGCCCTTAACTGCTGTTTATTTGCTTTGTGATTTCAAAGGCTTTCGCTCGCGTGCGTGGCAAGGAAAAAGGTGGTTCCCAGGAGAATACTCATGGAAGGGGACGTATTTGCCAACAAGCAAAATGGTGCTAATCGGCATGCAAAGGTAAAGCCGGTCCCTCCCCTACTTCCTCAGCAAGATTCGCACAAGCTGATAATTTGCATGTGCATTTGTGGAGAGCATGCACTCAGCATGGTGTGGGTTTCTGTTGCACATGGCATTTCACTTAGACTTCTGGGAATGATTGTCCATTCACCTATGCAATAGATGGATTCAGGATTAGACCTGAGGGCTCTATGTTTTCTTTCAAGTCTTTACTTTTGAGGCATATGTTACTTCGGCCTTCTAACCATGACTGTGTAGTAGGCAGTAGTTAGACCCTGAATGAACCAGTGCTCTGGGAGCTTTTCTTAAACTAGGATGGGTTGGGGCAAAAATCGCAAAAGCTTTAGTCACATAGTTAATGTGGGAGCATATTCTGCTCCCATCCATGACAGTCACTCTAATTTTCCCCTACTTGGGTAAAATTTATATGAGCTAATTAAGAAAGTAGATGAAAAGGTAGATATGACTGAGCCTGGAATCTCTGGGTTACACCTTTTGTATTACTGCCAAAGAGTAATCTCTGGCTACATTTACACTACCTCAGGGATCGATGCGCTGAGATTGAGCCATCGGTGGTTGATTTAGCAGGTCTAGTAAAGGCCTTCCAAATCAACTGCAGATCACTCTCCGGTTGACCCTGGCTGAGAGAAGTAAGATAAGTTGATGGGAGGTTTTCTCCCATTAAACCCCCTGTGGGATAGAGCATGTAGTAACTCAACCTAAGGTACGTTGATTCCAGGAACGTTACGTTGTATACCTGAGGTTGACATTCCATGGCAGTATAGATGTAGCCAGGACATGGAGCAAACATTCCAGCTGCTAGTAGATGTCCTCAGCCATGTCTGTGGTGGGTGAAATGTACAGTTTGAAGCACAGATCTTTGCTGTGTGTGTTAAAGCCAGTGTCTCAGTGGTGGGGTTGCCAAGCCTAGGAATTGTGCTAACAATCACTTCCCCGAGACTCAACACTCACTCAGTTTGCTAGTAGAGGAAGAAAAGAAGAGACAGGCAAGCATTTGGCTGCTTGCACACATCAGTGTTAAATTTGCAATGTTTTCCTCTGCTTCTCTCTAAGCATCTCTCATTGTACTCACTAAGTTATGCATGAGCTGGAAAGCAATAGGGGGAAACATTTTCTGCCTCAAAGGAAGTTGCATGGCTGAATATGCTTCCATTAATGGGCTATGGCTGGAGATCAAGAGGGATCATTTCTGTTGCTTTGCAGACAGTAGTGTGGTTGGCTTATCTAGGGAATGTGCAACTTGCTTGTCAGAAACAGAAAAAAAATGTCTCTTCTTCCTGTCCTTAGCCTCTTGACAGGTAGATTCCTCTGTGATGAGTGAGGAGTTGTAGCAGCTATTCTGCTTGATGATAAGGATACTGCCAGGGAATCCACTGGAAAGGAAGAGGAATCCCTCTTCTTCTAGCTTCTTCCTCTTGGTTGCATATTTGTGCTGCTGTTTGCCATACCAGAGACAGAGATTTAAAACAAAACAAAAGAGGCCCTGGTAGTGACAGCTCCATTGTGTTTCTATCTCACTCTACCTCTGGGGCCTGGTTTCCCTCTTGCTTTCTTTGTGTGTTTTTACAGTGAATGCAAACTCTGGGATGTGGCATGAAGCATCTCCACAGTAATAAAATCCCCAGATAACTTTATACCTACCCCATACGCCATTCCTCTCACCTTGTTTTAGAGAAGATATGAATGAGCCTGGAAAACCCATGGGTCACATATTTTGTATTGCTATCAAAGAGCCATTTCTGGCTACAGTGACACTGCTGCGGGGATCGATGCTCTGAGATTGATCTATCGGTGGTTGATTGGGCAGGTCTAGTTTTATGCTGGTTTTGTTTCTGGTACTGCCACGGTGGAGTGGAACTTGCTGAACCCTTCCAGCTGCAGCCATGTAGTGGGGAGACGATTTCTGCACCTATTGACTTGACAATTACATCTTCCAGGGTAGGGAGCTGTCTCCTGGCTGCCAGCCCTGCTCCTTGAGAGCTGGCTTCCTCCCTGCACTGCAGGCTTTGCAGAGGCTTATACAGCTGGCTCCCTGGGAGCTGGGCTGGCACCTAGAGCCAGTGCATCCCAGGTGTTGGATTATAGTACACACAGCTGCCACTCAGGGAAGCTCGGGGCCCCGACCCCAGCCAGTCCAACTTGGGCTGGGCAGGCCAGCAGGATCCCCGCACCCCAGCCAGGCCGGAGTGATCCAGGCTGGGCAGATGGTTAGCTGGTTAAATGTTACCAGTCGTTTAACCTGTTAACGTTTAACAGTCGTTTAACCTGTTAACTAATTAAATGATTATTTACATCCCTACCTCCTATTGTTTTGAAGCAAGATGAGTGAGTTTAATAGTTAGATTGTAAGAAACTTGCCTTCCCATGTGTTCCGATAGCTTCCGGGATTCCAGAATAAGGAGTCCCCAGGACTGGAAGGGACATGAGTAAGGCAGTAATACAAGTAAATCGATGCCTTTTCCATACCAGGACCTGAGCAGCCCGGGTGACGTCCACCCACAAAATGTGGGGGAGAGGGGGAGCCAAGTGGCTGGAGAATCAGCATGTGTGATAGCATTCTCCAGGAGACTGAGAGCTAGGCTCTCATCCCAGTTTGGACACACATGCAGTCACTCTGTCTCTGTCAAGTCACATAGACCCTCGTTTTCAACATGATGATGCTCCTCCTGCTCCTAGTGCCTTCTCGGGGAGGCTTTCATTTAGATACTTGTAATGGGGCTAGGCCTTAAGGCCAAAAGGGTCATAGAGAAGTCATCCAGGCAGCTAGAGTGGCTGTGGAGGAACCAGCCAATCAGGAGCCAGAAGGGGCTACAAAAGGAGCTGCAGGACTAGAGGCAGTTCACATGTCAACATTTTCCCCTTGACCTCTGTGCCTCATTTTGCACCCCGGCAATGGGTTTAATACTGAGTTACCTCCCAGGGAAGCAAGGACTGCTCAATAGCTCAGGTCTGTAACGTGCTGTAGAAGAAGCCAAACCCATTCACCTGCTCACAGACCTCCTCCAGGGAGTGGCACCCCCCAAGCCCTCCTCCAGCTGACTTAGCCAACGCACACATCAGGCTGTTTTTTAGTTAAACTGCTGCTGTACAATATTCATGGAATGCTTACGACCATCACAGATGCTGTGGTTTGCCAAGTGTATTGTGGAATGTCCACAGTGTACTCTGGGATAAAAAGACATGTCCCACACTGCTTGGCACAGCTGCAGTAGACACAGTTCCAACAAAGACCTGCTGCTCGCTTTTAAATACTGTCATTTCTTCTCCGAGAGGACACGCTGGTGCATTTTCATGCTCTACTTTGAAAACTGCTAACATGTCAGTAGGGAAACCGCTCTCTCTTTAACTGTTTGCTCAACGTGCATATTTCTTTGGCTTCATTTAGAGCAAATGGAGAGACAGCATCACAATGAAGGACAGAAGAAGGATGAACCAGGTTAGTGTGTGTGATGATACAGGTGACAATTAGAGTGCATTAGAATTGTCAGTACGGTCATTCTGAATAGTACAGATGGTCAGAAACTGCTTAATGAAGAAAGTTTTTGGTTGAAAAATTGACATTTTTCTAAACCAAAGGTTTTTTTGAAAAAATTATTGACATCCTGACTTCATCAGGGCATTCAAAGGACAGTCCTGCTGCCCTTTATTCATACAGTAAGTAGCATAACATTTCATTACCCCAGCACTCAATGCTAATATCAGTTTTAACCCAAAACAAATCACTTTGGCAATACAGATCTGTCTGCTCATTCCCTACTCAGAGTTGAAGTGTCTATGCAAATACAATCCACTTCTGGCTTCCCCACCCCCAGCTCATCTCGAGGTGTTAGGGAAGAATTCCTTCAGATATGCTTGCACTTCCGTACATTGCCAAATCAGGACTTTCGTAATATGCCCAAAGTCATACATGAAGTCTTGGGTAGAACCAAGAGTAGAGCTGACGGCTCCCAAGTCCCAGGCCAGAGCCTCAGCCACACATCCTTCCACCTTAACTCATAACCATGTAACCTCTTCTAATACCATATGACATATGGCTTTTAAAATGTTCACTTTCCTCTGACATCACAAGTGCCAACAAAATTGGCACCTACTGAAGTCAACCATAAGAAAATGCATGGACTACATTGTGAGGTATTTGTGCACAACTCATTCTTGTGCATATAGAGCTATAAATCTGAGGGGTGGGTTTTTTTCCTGTCTCCCACGTCTCCATCCACTGAGATAGGTGAAGCTTCAGCTAGAGTCCTGTGCCAAATTCCCACACTTTAGGAAAAATGTGGACAAATCGGATAAAAGTTTTCGAAAAAACAGATCTATGAGGAAAAATTAAAAAATCACCGGGTATGGTTAGTCATGAGAACAGAAGACTGAATGGGGACCTGGTAAATCTTCAAATCAGTTAAGGACTGTTATAAAGAAGACAAGGATCAATTATTCTCCATGGTCACTGAAGGCAGGACAAAAAGCAGTGGGCTTAATCTGCAGCAAGGGAGTTTTAAGTTAGATATTAGGAAAAAACTAATTATAAGTTTAGTTAAGTTCTGGCTAGACTTCCAAGAGAGGTTGTGGTGTCTTTGCACCTTCCAGGCCTACATTTCTGTGATTCTATATAAACCTCATTATCTCAGTATCAGAAAGCCACACAATCTCTGCTGCATTTATCCTCATCGCGCCCTTGTGAGCTGGCAAAATGCTCTTATCTCCATTTGTAAACTGAGGCAGGGATAAGCTAAGTGACTTGCCCAAGGAAGTCTGTGGTATAGCAGAGAATTGAGTCCAGCTCCCCCAAGCCCTCAGCTGGGATGCAAACCAGTAGACCATCCTTCCAAATCAGGAAGGTCAAATCCTGAGAGGTGTCTTCCATTTGGAACTCCAGATAAACAGTGTGAGAGACAGGTGCTTCAGGCTTCTCGTTGTTTGTAATCTGATTAAAATTAGATACTTGCAGACATTATGATTCCCAGTGTTACTGTTTCTGAGGTTCAGCCACATCCAAAGCCAACTGCACACTTTGGTTCTCAAACTTAGCACAATAAGCGCTAAGCCATCCGTAAGTCCCGGAACGCCCAGAGCAGCTGTTGTAACAGAATCCTTTTTCAGCTTTGTAGTTAGACCATCACAAACATGTTGCCAGAACCCAGTGAATATTTCAGTAGAAACAACACACATGAAGAAATTACCTCACGAAACAGCTGGATGGTGCCAACCCATGTTGCTGAAGTTATTGCACGATAGGTTCCCTTCAGAGCACAGCACAGCACAGAGGGAACAAATCACCCTTGTCCTATGGAAATAGGACTGTGGGCTGTGCGAAGGCAGGTACAAGGGTATGCTCCTTCCTCCATAGCTACCAAACCTTCTCGGCAAAATGTCTCTGCAGCCAAGGGGTGCTCGTAGTGCTCATTGCAATACACAATAAAATGTAGGTTAATGGTCCATGAGAGGTTCTGTTCTTCTCGAAGATATGCATGCAAAACTCCGGCTGAAATCAATGGGAATTACACGTGTGTAATTTAAGGAAGAATTTAGTCCCATTTTATAATTGCCAATGTCAAATTCTGGCGCCAGGTTCATGAATGTCTCTCTGGAAAGGCAAGCACCTTTCCATCGTATCTAACAGTGGAGCTCCAAGAGGAGAATGATGCAGAAGCATAGTGTGTTTCCATTTCTATAATGAACTTTATTCAGTTTCAGGAGTATGATTTGTTGAGTGCACCAAAATGGTGAGTGCTCTAGAGGTGCTCACTATGTTCTGTGTTTTAGAAACAGACACAAGCCAGCCAAACCAACCATGTGTGTATAGCTAGGCCTGGCTTGTTTGCGTGTATTTAGTTGACTTGGTTATTTGGGACCCACTCTGTGCCCATGTGGCTTATTTATATGTTGTTGTTTTGGTTTGTGGTGTAACATGGTCATAACAACACAAGTTATTCATGCCTTTCATTGAAATAATGTTGTGATGGTGTGAACTAAGCTCAGAGGCCTCCTGCTTTGGCTAAGATCAAGTGTAGTATCTGTTCTTATCAGTTTAATATCCTTCCCAGGAAAAGAGTAGTGGAGCTAAGTCCTCCAAGCAGCCTAGAGAGGCTGCATGGGATCCAGCCAATCAGGAGGGGAGCCTGCAAGGGGCTAGCCAATCAGCAGATTGCAGGCTGGTATGAAAGAAGCTGCAGTGCAGCCCAGAGTTAGTTTCTGCTTGGTGCCTGAGAAGATAGTGCTTGTAGTGGGCTGAACAGCTTCAGCACCATGGAGAGCTCAGTATTGCCTACAGGAAGAGTGGCTTAGCTGGCTGCTGTGCCTGAAAGTAGAACATCCTGGGGGTCGGGGTGAAGCATCCTCCGAGGTTGGTGCCATGGGGAATTGACAGAGGGAATGGAAATCACTTGAGCTAAAGAGACACGGGCATACGTGGCTGCTATTCTTAGGGCCCATGGGCTGGGACTCAAGTAGTGGGCCCAGGACCTTACCCCGGAAACCACTGGGGAACTGGTTACAACTAGACAGGGACAATAGTTCAGATTCCCCTTCTAGGGTTTAAGAGGCCCAGCTGGAGCCAGAACAGACCAGAGTCGGCAACGAGTCTTCAGGGAGAAAGTCCTAGGGGCATCCCCCTGTCCCTGGGCCAGGAGCTATTAAAGACTTGGTTACACTAAGACCCCAGAAGGGGTCTTTTCGAGTGGTGTCCCGGTCAGACGATGTGTGACATGGCTGGAGGGCTGCGTCACTAGAAACCACCAGAGAAAGTGCTGGACAGGTCACCACAGACAAAAAGAGGTGGAGACACTCGCCCTGGTAGCAGGGCGCTCATGAGAAGTGGATGCCATCCCATTATAAACTCATCTGAACAAATGAATAGCCACTAGAGAAGTCCATTTACAAAGTCAACAGCATGAGAAATATCTAAACCTGAGAATGGCTCTTGTTATGCTTATAAAAACATGATGAATTTTGGGTATTGCACAAAGTAGAGACTAGAAATGAGCATACGTGTACACTCAACCCCCCTCCAAACACAGCTAGACCAAACACAAGTACGGAATCTGAGTCTCTACCGAATGCTCCCAAAGTTCCATTGTTGTTGCAAAACAACCCCAACCCCTTGGCTTTCACCCATTTTTATAGCAACAAATCCTTCTGTAAGCTTACAGACTTTGCTGTGTCATGCCTGAATTGTTAATTACAAACTGCTTGTTTTCAAAGTTCTTTTATTAGTACTATTTTGTTTTTACAACTATTTTAAATTTGTTAAATAGGTTTTGATTTAGGACGTGGAAGCCTTTTCTACAGTAGGGTTTTCAATTTGCACTCTTTGTCTAGGGTCTCAGGATGGTGAAGCTGATAGCTTACCTTTTTTAACTCCTTTTTTGTCATTTGCTGGCATTTTTATTTACTTTTCATTGATATCTTATTTATATACAGAACAGTACAATGATTTCAAAAGCAAACTTTTTTTACATGACAGAACAATTTTCTCAAGGCAGAACAGAACAAAGCAATCTCCAATGTTACTAAAACATTGATTTAGACAATTTCATTAAGTGAGACAAAATAATTTCACCCCAAATCAATTGTACCATACTCTATAATGCAACTATTCAGTTAATACACCACAGAACATTAGGACCAGCTGCCAACTTTAAAGAAATGTTCATATTTTTGTAAGGTTTTGATTATGTCCAATATTTGTATTTTTTTTGACGGTGTCAATCTGTTTTAACATAGTAAACACATCAGGGTTGCTGGAGTGGAGGAGTGGGAACTTGGGCAAATTGTTTATAACAAAAAATTATGTTATGAATTGTCTGCAAGCAGCTTAATTTTTTATTTTCAATTTGTTATTGACAATTATTTGCCAAATAATCCTCTGTGAATTATTATTGGCCTGTAAGTTGTTCATTATAAGTAGCTGATATTAAAAATTAGACCTGTGTTGGCTGGATTGGATTGGTTACATAGAGTGTATTGTATTGTATGTCTCTGGTCCCTTGAATTCTTAGAATCAGGCTTCAGTGCAAATGTTTGCAATTCTGAGCTGAGAAGGATCTTTCCCTTATGCATGTTTCAGTATTTGCTTAGAATTGATTCTGCTAATATTCTTGCCTTGTTTGCTAGAATATTCTGAGGAAATGAACAGATCACGTTCATGAATGTAGTCCAAGTGTTGCTAGCTTTAAACGGGCGATATTGACATTCTAACAACGAGATGGGAGAATATTTGATGCAACATTGGGGGAAAAAACACTTGTAATTACACTTCATTTTATACAACAAAATATCTTTTCAGTCTGCTTTGATGTGAGATAGAAGAATGGTTGCAATAAGAGAATCTGCCTTATGTTAGAATGATTAAAAGCGACCGTTTTGAACAAGGGGATACTAGATGCTTAAGTGTTGTTAAGAGTTTAGCAGAAGAATAAACATGGTTCTCCCTAGCAA